TGGCAGTTCTAGCGTTTGTAGGTCATGTCCCATGGTCCAAAGGTGAAATTAGCTGTGTTGCAAGTCCAGGGGAGGGGAGCGTCTAGTGATTGATTTCTTAGATGTACCCATGGTGACAGATTGCTGTTCCTTTGATCGCACTCCTCAGTCCTCCGTTCCTCTGCTCGCTCGGGCCCTCTCGTCATGGTCAGCCACTTCAGAAACCCACCTCAGCCTTTCAGGCGGTTCGGCGACAGACGTCATCACCACACTGCTCAGCTTCTCGCAGGGAGACATCATCAGCGTGCTGCAGCAGAGGGAAGATTGGTGGCTGGGGCAGATCAACGGGATGCAGGGATGGTTCCCCAAAAGTTACGTCGCTTTGGAGACGGCTGGCAATACAGAGTAAGAAGACGCACATCCCTTTTGTGTAAAACCTTTAACAACTGAAAGACTTGCTTCACCATGTGTTTTTCCCATCATAGTGTGGATGCGTTGGACACAGCTGATTCAGTTCAACTAGAAGGTAAGAGTCGTTTATCTGTGGAAAATAAGGTGTCTAGTTAAAGTCAGCGAAGGTTTCCTAACTGGTACTATTGTTGTCCTTACCAGAATACGTAGCCTTGTATACATATGAGAGCCCAGAGGTGGGGGACTTGACGTTTGTCGAGGGGGATGTTGTTTTGGTGTTGGAGAAAGAAGGAGAGTGGTGGCGAGGATGCATTGGGGACCAGACAGGGCTCTTTCCCTCCAACTATGTCCGACCTGTAGAACTGCCAGAGGTGAGTCAAGCTGAGTTAATGTGGGGAAAAAAATGCCAAAATAAATGATTACATTATTTCTGCTTTACATTTCCTTTGTTAACTTTAGGCATCAAAACCTGGAGGTCCAACCAAGAAACCTGGTGAGAATGAACACTCAGTCGGTGTTTGATGACTCATTCTGTTATTCTCTTGACATTTAAATGATCGAAATTCCCTGTTGGCTTTTTCTGGTTGGTCAACAGAGGTTGCGCAGGCAGTCACCACCACTGGGACCTCAACGATGCATCAGCTTCGCCTGTCTCCGGGGCAACTGATCGTGGTCCTGGCCAAGAACTCCACCGGCTGGTGGCTCGGGGAACTGCAAGTAAGCTATACTATACTTTTTTCATTTTTCTTTTTTAAAGAGCCATGGATAAATTGAAACTGTTAACATCAGAAAAATTATGATTTCAGCTAGAATTTTTTACTTTGGCTGCAAGTGCAGAAGGTCAATCGCACTGCCGAGCGCCGTGTAAGCACAATTAATGAGTCATTAGTCTCCCAAATCCCCCTCCCGGTTGCAAATGACACATTTCTGCCTCTCTGTGAAAGGAATTTAGAACATTTTAATGTGACACCTACTGGATTATATGGCGACGAGAATGAAAAGCTTTATTAACAAAAGGTCATTGAAAACTTGTTGCCATTAGACACGAAGCAGAATGATTGTGGAGGAAATTACAGTGCAGATATGTGGATATTTCCTTAAATATTAAGGTGGTCCTGTAAGGAAAAAACGCCTGAGATTTGTTCAGTCTTTTTAGTGAGAGTAAATTGAACTTTTGGTTTTGGATAGACAGACAAAATGAGCAAACAAAATGAAGACATTATCACTATGGATGTTTTAATAAACTAGTTAATCAGTCAAATGGCAAAAAGCAATCAACAAATTAAGGTATAATGGAAAATGAGTGGCATATCCTTGTTTAATTTAATCCACCACGAGTGCATTGGAAGTAGGAGCAGGTGCTGATGTGTCCAATCAGTGGAGAGCTGATGAGAGGTTAAAAGAGTATTAACAGTGCTGACTATAAAGCTGTTCATGTGCAGCAGTGAGAGGTCAGGATGCAGGAGCATTCAACTATAAGGATGAGTTTGTATCTGCTGACATGTCAGACCAATAGAGAGCTGATGAGGGGTGGGCGGGAAGGTTACAGGAGTAATAACAGTGCTGTCGTCTACAAAGGTCATCAAAGTGAAGGGTCATCTCTCTCTGCCTGTTTTCGTGCTGAGGCTGCAGCTGTAGTTTGAGTTGAAGCTCAGAGTGCGACAGCAGAAGTCATATTTGCTGTTAGTACATTCAGACAATAAGTCAATATGAGTAAGAGTGTCCGAGATCAGAGGATTTCCACAGCTTTGTCAATCTGTGCATTACCCTCAGCAGCTTGCAGCTTGCAATACTGCGGCTGTTTCAGAGACTTCAGCTGAGCTTTAGTTTGCTTTATAGAGTGAATGTACATTCCCATCATGAGGGAGCGTTCTCAAGGTTCAAAACTCTGCCTGTCAAAAAAATCAATTCATCAATTAATGTTTCGATTTAGGATTCAGAAACGATCCAGCAGAAGATTGATTCACTCTCACCGGCTCTTCTCTCCCCTCCAGGCTCGGGGGAAAAAGCGGCAGAGAGGCTGGTTTCATTCCTCTCACGTTAAGCTCCTGGGTCCCTCCAGTAGCAAGTCTTCCCCCTCTCCTCTGCCAGGTGAATGCTGACACACGGCAAACACAGCATTTGATTTACTATAACTGATCTTGTCTTGATGCATTCTCAATCATCCAGGAAAATAAATCTCCAAAAGTTGATTCTGTTCGTCTGGACTCAGCTGAGACTGAAGAAGTCACTTGGATGAGTGATGAAACGTTTCTCCCAGAAAACGCTACGTCCAGACGAACAGAATCAACTTTTGGAGATAGAACTGATCTTGTTTTAGTCAGGTTTGTATTTACATTTTTAAATCTGTATATTTAGCTGAGAGATGCAGGTCGAAATTACTTGAACAACCACGACAGTAACTGCTGGAAAGCTGTTATGTCTATGACTTTGAAACTAATTTGGTAAAAATGCTCATTAATCATAAATTCCTGTCTCAAATTTCAGCTGACAGAACATAATCTCTCAGTGTCATTTCTGTTATTTAGTCATTTACAATGGAGCACCCTCTGCTTATTCTGTCATGCTGATATTTAGCGGACACAGACTTTACCATGGTTCCTCTCTCAGCCTGCTAACATTCAGCATTTAGCACTGATCATAGAAGCAGCAGAAGCAGATGGCGATGGTTTTAGTTTTAGGAGTCCACACAATGAATCACCAACAGCAACTCAAAAATGAATGCAGTGACGTGGAATTGCACACAAGTGCAAATATGTTTACATGAGATGTGCCCAGGTAGTGCAAATAGACAAGGCAGTATTTGCCATTAATTATATCAATAGCATTTAGGAGAAATGAGTCACAGACAATTTTAGTCCTCCAAACAGATGCCTGCCAATGACAGCCTGCAAGCATTAGCTCAAACAGGCTACGCAGCCAGTGTTCCTGGCAGTGCCATATAGCATTCTAGGGCTCTGCCTTAAAAATGACCAAAATCCAGCACGAACTCCTCTTGAGGTGACTGTTGGGACTGACCTGTGGCTAAATATGCTAAATAAATAATAAATGAATAGTAATTGAGAGGAAAGTGTTTGCGCTTGTGTTTGCCATGCACATGCTGGTGCATGTCCGTGCATGAATGTCTGTGACTAAATAAATAAATATGCAGAAATAAAATGGTAGAATGAGCCAAAATAAAGGTCGTTGAACCTCTCAGCCGTAAAAGGCTGATGGGGTGTTGTTGTCGCCCGGCCGGGTGCGCAGCGTGAATACCCAAGTTTGTGAATGCAAGAACTCGAGAACAAGGCAACATAGGATTTTGAAATTCAGATCATAGATGCATCTACTAGAAATCTCAGTAACCTCGACCTCAAGGTCAAGATAAGAGGTCAAATTTTCTAAAAAACCACAGAGGATTTTCAAATTGATACCACAGAGATGCATCTACTATGAGGCTGAGGCTTAAGACTGGAGGCTGCCGGTATTTTTAAATGTTTGGTGCCCAAGGAAAATCATTTCACTATTTTCACCTTCTTTTAATGTCATCTTGGTCTCTTTAAGGCTTTCTTAGTTCTGTTTTTTATACACTGGCCCTCATTGGGTCATTCTACAAATCTACAGCAACAGATTAAGCTTCATATGTCAACTCTGTTCCCTCAGTATGCCAAGTTATTGCAATGTATGACTACACGGCTGCCAATCAGGACGAGCTGAGTTTCTCCAAGGGTCAGCTGATCAACATCCTCGACAAGACCAACCCCGACTGGTGGAAAGGAGAAGCCAACGGGGTAACAGGATTGCTGCCCACCAATTATGTCAAGATGACAACAGAATCAGACCCCAGCCAGCAATGTAAGTAAAACTTTAATCCTCTCACTGATGGACTGTCTTTTTTTTTCTAAATGAAAAATAATAAAACAGTTAGCACACATGGAAACTGATATGTTGTGTTTATCAGCTGTAGAAACAAACTTCTTTCCTACTGAAAAAAACAAAAATGTTGGTTGACTTGGCTCACTCCAGGTACAGTAGATTCCTTATCCATGTCAGACCATGGAACCACTGATGGTAAGCCTCGAGTAGTTGGTTCAATCAATCATTGAGGAAACTGGTGAACATATAACCATTACACTTAAAAGGCTCATTCCCATAAAAAGCTTCTGAAATTGATTAATAGAAAATGTTAAATTTCTTCTCCACAAGGCAAAAGGATTGGGCCTTTTAAGTATCCCGGACAACATCAACAATTTCAAATCATCAAAAGGACAGTTTGACATTTTGGGCATGAAGCGTGATGGATACCTCTCTCATCGTGTTGTTAGTTAATTTAATCCAGCCACGCTCTGGCTGCAGTTTTTATATTAAGCAGACTAATATGAGAGTGGTATTGATCTTCTAATTTCACTTGCAACCACAAAGTGAACAAAGCGTATATCCCACCAATGTCAAACTGTTCTTTTAAAACAGATGCCGCTGACAAATCACCCCGGGCAACAAAATAATAAAGAGCGAAAGCTGATCTGATTTCAAACTGACACATTTTTCATCATTTTGGTCACATTTCTGGAAACCCCAGCTTCGCTTTCCCTCTCTGAATGCGACACCGCAGCAGCTGCTCGCACGGGAAGGCGGTCATTTTCCTCACGCGTATCCTGCTCGCTGCTCATTCATATGTAGCTGCTGAGAACTTTTAAAAAGGCAGATTTCTTAATGAGAGGTGTGCGCCTGAATTAGTATGCACAGGTTGCGTGTTCTCCTCACAGCAGCAGCTGTTAACAAGCGTGAACACACGAGATCTTTAATTAGGATGAACTTGCCGAAGCCACAGACACAAAACGCTCTGATATTCTAATTCCAGCGAAGGCATTGTCACTCGCAACACGCCCGCCACACGTAAGGCCGGCGGTTCACTGGCGAAACAAGAGCGCGAGAAATCGCCGTCTGCAGCTGATACGATGAATAATAACATTTACATTTCCAGAAATGCATTATTAATGCGCCTGCATGTGAGTGTCCAGCATTAATATTAAAGCTATATTAACGTCTGCTGTCTCTCCATCTCTTCATCATCTCACTTCCCTCCCTTCCGTTCCTCCACTTCATCTGTTTTTTTCCCCTCCTTTTCTTCTGTAGGACAGTAACGCTGGCTTTCCTGTCTCTTCTTCCTCCTTTTCCTCCTCTTCCTCTTTCTCACCCCTTCTGTCTGAGCGATCCCGAATTGCCCTGTCGCAACAGGAAGCCCAGCCGCCAGCAAGAACGGCCCACCTCCGCAATTTCCACCTCACCCGTTTAGGACTCTGGTGTTCTGTGCTTCTCTGTTACAAACCCTGTTTTTTTTTCTTTGTTTTTGGCCTCCTACCTTCTCAGCTTTAAATGTAAATTTATTTCACCGTACACCCCTTCCTCCTCTCCCCCCCTCGCTCTCTTCTCTCCCTTGTTTTCATTCCTGTTTCTTTAACTAATTAACCAAGGGAGCGAGGCAGAGGCAGCTAGACATGAGCTTTCAAAGCTTTTGTCCCCCGTGATACAAAAGTGTGGAAAGCGTAGTTTTGCTACAGATAAAAGGAAAATAAGAGTTTGATTACAAAAGTATGGAAAATAATATGTAAGAAGCATCGGTTTAGTTTTCTAAATTAAAGCTATAAGTTAGTATGATGCAGAGTATTCTAACAGGGTCACTCATTCTTGCACTAACAACATTGAAACCTTGCTAAAAATGGACCAATGTGAAGACTCGCTGTTGCTTAAATCACCGGTAACCTTGATTGCTGCTTGCTAACGCATCGCTTGAACTGCAACTGAGATGAAATTGATTGTGATTTTATTATTCGATGCTTATGCACTCTGCCATTTATTGACGCTTCCAAGTACTTAAAATGACACCCACCCTGTACTGAACTGTGATATCACCAGCAAATACATATTTTAAAAAAAGAAAATAAAAAAACATGCAAACATTAGCATATCAAGAATAGTCTGAGAGAAACATCTACCACACTGCTGACATATAGGGTTATCATCAAAAGTTTAAATGCACTCATCATGGGCTAGAATGGTGCCGTAATTTTGAGGTTGCACAGCATACATCTTTAATGTCTTAAAAAGAAATGGTTTGAAATTATTTGAGATTTTCTCTAATCCACGTCGCTTTGCAAGTTAGACGTTGACCACACTGGTAGCCATCAACAAGCTTCTGGTGAAATTCTGGCTGGATATTTGAGCACTCTTCTTGGCAGGATTGGTAGAGTTCGTTTGAACTGGTTGGTTTCCTGGCACAGACCCGGCTTTCAAGCATAGTCCACAAATTTTCAATTGGGTTGACATCGGGGCTTTGGGAAGGCCATTATTCATTCCAAAAACAGATTTGATGTGTGTTTGAGATCATTCTCCCGTAGGCTAAAGTGTCCAACCATCTAGCTGCTGATTTGAGTTGAAGCTGAAGAATTTGGAGATTAGTCCTTCTTCACCATTGCATTCACTTTGTGCGGTGTACCAGTACAAGCAAAACAGCGCCAGAGCATGATGCTACCACCGCCATGCTGAACAATTGGTACAGTGTGTTTTTAGGTTTGAAAGCCTCATCTTTATTCCTCCAAACATACCTTTTGCCATTGTAGTCAAATAGCTTAATCTTTGTCTTGCCTGACTTTTCTCCAGATGAAATTTGGCTTGTCCATGTGGGCAGCTGCATATTTCAGTCAAGCTTAAAGATGTTGGTTTTTGGACAAGGGGCTTCTTTCTAAGTAGGCACCCTCTCAGTCCATGGTGATATAAAACACTCTATGGACACTGTGTTCCAGTATTTTCTAGTTCATGTCAGGTTTGAGTCTTGGTGGTTTTTGGCTTGTTTTTGAAGATTCTAATTAATTTTCCTTTCATCTGACGCCATGTCCACACTAATACGTTTTCAAACGAAAACGTATCTTTTTCTCTCTGTTTTGGCCTTCCGTCCACACTGAAACGGCAATGTGGACAGCGAACCCAGAGCCTTTTCGAAAACGATGACACATTTTAGTCATGTGATGCAGTCATGCGACCAATTAAACTAAGATAGCGGAGGGCATCACACAGCAGTTGTTTTGTGTGCTCTGAATTCTGACAGCCCTATTAAAGATTAATTCAGTTTGTACATGCTCCCGATAGCTTTTCTTCAAATTCTTTGACTCTCACTCGCTTTTGCAACT